ATAATGCAAAACACATTACAAATATATAATGAAACACTCAAGTTTTTACGAATGGTAAAAAAATGTCATTTTTCACTATTTAGTTCAACAAATTAAAATTTATTTCGAAGTTTTTTTACAAATACATACTCCTTTAACGACGCTTCAACGGTTTTCTCAAAGACATCTGCCGACGTTAAAGTCACACACAGCTACTAAAATATTTGAAAAGAGTCGTGGAAAAAAAAAAAAAAAAAACAANTTTTTTTTTTTTTTTTTTTTTTTTATTTATTTGTTATTTTTATTTTAGATAGACCCTTCAATTTTCGTTATCGGCAAAACGAGTCCTACGTGTAAAAAACGAGCATCCCGCGTCTTCATTTGGTTTTGCAACACGCAATGCTAAGTTCATGATAACAGCAAAGTGAGCCAAGTAAAAAATAAATCCTCCGATTAATGTAAAATTTCATTTTTAACAAAAAAGACTTGATAAAATGTACAAATAGTGATGTATTGCGGCGATTCGTGAAGATGATGAAACGAGTGACTATTGCACGCGGTAAAAATGTACCATGTTTTTTTTATGAAGCTATCCAAATGTGCGAAATTGATGACAAAGTGAAAAACGACATTATTCCATTGAGCGCATCAATTAGATCGAACGCGACCTGAATTCGCAATACGAACGCAAAAGTTATATTTACACCCACATGATGTTTCCTCATCGCTGGGCTGATCTTCGCGCCACGCGACTGATACCTCACACGCGATATTAATAATAATGTACGCGAGCGCCGCTGACTCGCTTCAAATTCAATGACAATGTTCGAGATTTTTTTTTCCCAGCCTCACGTCTCATTGACGCCAATTGCGCTCAAAGGTCGAGCCATCTCTCTGTCTGACAGGCTTAAGTGAATATGTATGTACTACGTGCATGTGAACAATGTAACGAAACCAATGAGAGGAGAAAAAAAAGAAGTTACCAACAGATGAAAGAATGAAAAAAAAAAAAAAAAAAATACTTATTTACCGAGCCTGAAAATCGGGGGATCCGCATGGCTTAGTTTCCAGTATAAGTACATTACGCTCGTTTTCAGATCCTTGCAGCGTATATAACTGTATACAGTCCAAGTGACGGTGCACAATGCTCGAGATGGAAAGAAAGAGCCGTGCCTCCGTGAGAAGAAAGAATGAAAAAAAAAAAAAAAAAAAAAAAAAAGAGACGAGGCTTATACAGCGGAGGAAGGAGGAAGGAGAGGGCAAAAAGGAACGAATAGTGTTTAGGTCGGGCCGGCGTGTAATGCGTCGGGGCATAAAGTGGTTGGTAATTGATGTAGCAACGCACACGAGCTTGCGTATAATATTATACACATGCCATGTGTGCGTATATACATAGGGGCGAGGAATCGGGTTTCACTGTTGTCGCTGCTGCCGGTGGTGGCTGCAGTGTTGCACAGAGTGCGAACGAGCACGTGTACCAGGTATTAGTGATGGTGTGTATCGCACGGAGAATGCGAAGCGCGAACAAAAAGGGACGAAAAGAAAAAGAGCCGGGAGAAAGGAGATATTGGGTTTTGTACGGATTTCCTTTTTTCGTTCGGGACGCGTACACGTATTATTATGTATACTTGTGCACGGACACCTTCTATACCTTTTTTTCGTTTCTTTTTTTTTTTTTTTTTTTCTTCTTTCCTCTTGCTGGCTGCTGTTGATTAAAAAATTTTTTTTCGGTAAATCGGGATGACGCGGGAAGTTTACGTGCACCGAGTCGAAGAATGGATCGAGGACTTGGGTCGGGGAGAGGTGGAGCGAATAATATTACACTTTGGAATTTTTGGTGCGAGATTTCCTTTTTTTTTTTTCCTCCAACCTAGAGCTTCGTTTTTAAGGCAAATATTGACACGGAGAGTCCGGGACACGTTCCGTATTTGTACACGAGGTCTGAAGGAATATCAATGTTTTTATCGAGCCGGTGTGTGTTTCACTAATATAAAATTCCTTCTCCCTGTCCAAGTTAACGACACATCAAGCCTCGTTCGGTTATCTGTTTACTTTTTCTTAATGGATCCTCGATCCCACGCGCCTCTATTTTTCTTTTCTTCTTTTTGTTTACGCTTAAAAATCCATCCTCGCGAGTAATTATGTCAACAAGTATACCTATACGTTAAAAAAAAAAAAAAAAAGAAAAAGAAAATCCGAGATAACACAAAGTGAGCTCAGGGCAGGCTTAAGCGGACCGCTTATAACGAGCCGAGGGCAAGTATAGGAGAAAATCCGGCAGGCTCGGCTTATATTATTCCCGGCGAAACTGCAGCGCGGAGGGGAAAAGAAAAAAAAAAAATTCCAAGTTAACACGCGAGGAAAATGAGTTCCGGAGGACGAGCTGCAGCAACTTTTTATCTACTGCTATACTTCTTTGCTCGAGCCGAGAAACTTCTTTTCTTCGTCTTCATTGTCTCGCGAGCTTTAATTTCGCAAAACTTTTCGCTCCGGCGCGGCTTCCTCCCCGTTGTAATATGAACGTGAGCTGCTGCAGTCGCGGAAAATCTTGAAACACAAAGTTTCAACGGAGGCTTCTGTAGCTATACGTTGCACGCTTATTGTTTGCACAGTACATAAGTAATACGTATATTAATCGAAGCAGCGCCGTTGAATCCACTTGGACGAGCAAAACGCGCGCCGTCCGTCATGTCACAATCTGAGAATGCGTGAGCGTGTCTTGTCACTGTAGCCAGGTATTTTATAATATATTCTCATTGATTGGGAATTTATACACGTGCAGTACAAGTAAACTTTCTCCTCTTACTTTTGTGCGAGTAAGTTATCCAAATGAAAAAAAAGGCCGTCTTTTTATTGCGTGCAAATGCACGCGTGCGCGCGTGAAATGTGTTTCATTTTATTACACGCTCGGGCCTTTCTTCTTCTACAGGTATGAGTACACTGGTACTTGTGTGTCCATTGATATTACGGTCACTTCCGCAGAGTTTTGTCAGGAGTTGTGTGTATACGTGAAATGATAATACGTCACTCTATAGTGAAGTGACTCGACGGCGACTTTTGATCGGTAATAAACCGATCGTGCGTGTATAAACGGTGATCGATCGATTTTTCGAGTCAAGGGCTCACGTAAAGAAAAAAAATAGATTGATAAATCGAGCGAGATAAAGACGTGTGCGTTACGACGTGCCAAGTTGTCCCGATCTCGTGCTCCGATCGATGAATCCCTAATGACATGTAGATCTCAATCTGTTTGGATGATGTGTGTCCGAGTAAGTGACTGTGATCGTTTTTAATGAAAGACGCGTTCAGCAACGATCATTATTTTTTTTTTTTTTCGCTTGGCAATTTATTTATTTGAGTAACAGTTCGTTTTGCTGGTATCTGTTTTTTAATAACTGTTTATTGAAAAATCGCCATGCTTTACGTAACGATCGGGTGTTGAATGACGTATCTATTCGTGAATTGAATTTATTTGTTCGGAGTCGAAAATATTTCCTACCAGTCGGATCGATGTACAAATGTTTTTTGATAGACTGAAAATTCGTCGATCGACGTAAATATCGATCGTTCGATAAGTCACACTTCACTCTTTCAAGTATATGTATAATTGACTTGTTAAAAATTGAAACAAAATAAATAAATAAAAACACAGGCAGTACTTAGATGCGACTGATTATCGACTGACTTTGTACGACTTCGATCTTTACAAAACTCGCGCTCATTGTCTCCCTCTTCTTCCCGAGAGTTATCGTACGTTCTCGTGCCACTAAATGGTATATGTGACCTTCAATTGCCGTCAATTGCAAGTTCATGTGGGAGAGTCTCGGAGAGACAGAGAAGGGACACATATAATGTATAAAGGTATTATTAACGTAATGATTGGAAAAGGTGGGATTAGAAATAGGTTGAAATGAAAAAGCAATTTGTGAACACAATTATTCTAAAAAAAAACAAATATTTTATTAGAAGTATTAAATGATAACTAAAAGGTGAAAATACCATACGTCTCATTATTTCAAACATCGTTCGTTAAATCCTTGTGAATGATTGGATTTAAGGACAGAATTCATACATTCTACCTTAGTACACAAACGATCTCCGTTATATGATACAATCTTCATGAGCATAACAGCAGACTTATGTGTAAAGTAGATTATACCAGCTCGTGTAATATATATTTTTCTCGCATATTTTCTCGTGTTCCGATACATCAGACGCTGCTAACGCGCCAACGCAGCAAATCCAAGTTGTAACGCCTATTTAAAACTATTACCTTTATTTTTATTACTCTTATACATTACTTATATCATTACAGAGTTTTTTTTCTTCTTTAAATTAAATGTATAGTAAGAAAAAGCGCAAACAATCGCGCTAATAGTTATACACACGTATTTGTATGACATGAGATTTGACAAAGCGGCAAATCTCGTGCTTGAGATTGACCAAAGCACAACAAACTGAACGTCTTTCTTTCAATTACATTATTTTTCAGTTTGTATCTTTGATTGAAGTCTCGCCGAGCTTGTACATTTACCTTTTTAATGTTTATCTAAAAAGAATAACCTTCGTTGTCGGGGACGACATTGTGACAAGTTGAAAAATCAATAAAAAAAAGATTATTATACAAAATTTACTTTCCCGTTTCGATCAGCATTGAAGCTCGAGTGCTTAACTTTCAGAGAATAAATATTATGCATTTTTTCTCAAAGCTGTCACGTATTTGGATATCGAAAGTAGTCCAAAAACATTTTTTAGCATAAGAAAGTTGTTAAAAAATGTATTAGTATTAAAAATATTTCCAGAGTACTTTGATTTTTTATCTCGTCAACGATTCGTGATAAAATTTGACGCTACGTGTGATGCTGATAGTTTATTGCTAATCAAATCAATGCTTTGATGTAAATGCATTGGAAGAGCAAATTTGACTTGATAAAAGTTCAATTCAGCACTTGTATTTTAATTAAAGAATATTGAACTTTTATTTTTCAACAAGTTTTCATCCATTACGTTTTAAATCTTAAAAAATGCAAAATCACATTATTCCTATCTGTACTTTTAAAAAAATTTTTTTATTCTATCAATAATTTTTAATTAACATGTATTTATGAAAACATTCACGACTGAGTCACCAAATCAAATTAAAAAAGCACAGAAAATTTGTTTTCTAACATACCTCGTTTAAAGTCGTATTACAGAACGTTATACAAAAGGTCACATGAGATTGATGTCAAATCATCAGGCCAGCGTAGTGTTAAGCATCAGAAACAGTAGCCATAAAAATTTTCTTTTACTGCCTATCCGACGACCCGGCAATTTATGCACCTTTCACAAGACTCTGCAATAAGCTTTCCGGAAAACTGTTTTTTTATCTTAAAAAGTTTATTAAACCTGTCCGTGAATAAAATGGAAAACTAGTCCAAAGTTTCTCATCGACACCGGCACCGTCACCTGTTTGACCACACGGATTTCTCGAAAAGTATTAGCACGCGAACAAAAATTAAAACAAAAACAGAAAAACAAACTCAATCGACCAGCTCTCAACATTTTCGAATACAAAAGAAAAATAGAAGGAAAAAAAAAAAAAAAATCATCACCAGCCTACTTGGGCAAAGCCCACAGGCACGTGCTTGTAAATGTGCAGCGAAAAACCGTGGACATGCAGTTGCACACTCTTCACGGATCCAGTACCGCCAGGACAAGCGCGACTACCAGGCTGATGAAACAAAAGGAGAAGGCTACGACGAGGCCGAGCCGTGACATGGCCGGTGCCGGGTCCTACTTGTCGCTCCCCGTCGGGTTTGCTTCCGTCCCCGTCGTCATGGTGTCCCTCGAAGCTGCCGCCGACTCGTCCGACTGTTCTGGCTTCTGCGGAGAGGACTTCTTCTCGGTCTCGCCAGCAAACAGTTTACTCGCGTTCGGGAACCTCCTGGAGTTCGGGAAGTCTGGCGTCTTCAGCCTGGCTGGGTGCAGGCACTCCTTGATCGCCTGGCCGAAGGCGTTCCTGACCGCCGGCGCTGACGAGACCGCGTGGGCGGCTCCCTGGATTTCGTCCACCGGCGCGTGGTTTATGCCCTCCCGCACGAGTCGCTCGACCGAAGCGCCGATCGCCGAGCCTCCGGTGGCGCTCGTGGGCGAGACCAGCAGCTGTGGCTTCTGTTGCTCGATGAGCTTGCGTCGCTTGGACGGCATTATGCTTAGGTAGGCGTCGCTGAAGGGCAACGGACCACCTTGGAGGCTCTCCAGCTGGGCCTGCTTGCGCTGGCGCACCGCGTCCCGAGCTATTATCGGCACCCATTCCTGCGAATCGAGGAAAAACAGGGATCGCTTATGTTTACCGATTTCTCGTTTATTTGTTTGTTTTGGCTATTTGTTAAAGGCGTCTCGTTGATATAGGTGTCAATGTTTTTTATATAAATGAAATGAAAATCTGGATGTTGTTATTATTTATTTTTGTATCTATCTCTACTCATTCTATATCAACTTTTAATGCAGTGAGGATGAGATTCGTTTTATCATGATGGTGAGTATTTGGGTTGATTACAAATTATATTAGACAAGTCGTTTCATTTCAAAACTCACTAGTTCTATAGCTTTCCAATGCAGCAAAAAAAAAAAAAATATTTCAAACTATATGTTACATTTGATTTAGTGAAAGAGAATTAGTAATTTTTTTTTTAGTACGAAAACTTAGCACAGCAGTTTATTTTGTGCGAAATTAATTACAGAAACAGGATACAGAAATATATAATGCTAACTTACTCCATTTCTATGGAATCTGAATGGTGTACCTAATAATGAAATCACATTCGTTGTAGTAAATGATTCTGTGGTATCAACGAACAGAGCACTATTGACTAAATAGCTTTTGAAAAATGAATGACTTTTTTGTACGTTTTTGCAAGTGTTGTATGCATTTTTATGAACACAGCGAAATAATCATGGAGCAATTGTAATTCTAATCAAGTTCAACGTGTTTACTTTTCGCAATAAAAAAATGTTGTGCATGAAAACGAACAGTTTAGAAGGAACTTTTCATAAAATTGATTCAACCATCGAAACGCTGACCAAGTAAAAGTACAGATTGAAAACCACACATACTGTGCTTTAAATAACAATCATTTTTGAAGGAAATACTATCTGCATGATTTTGAGAGAAAGATCTGCAATGAAATGCACTATTCTTTTTTCATCGCAGATTCCGATGTAGCGGCATTATAAAAGCATCGCGAACGAACTATGTAAAAGCAAACTAGTGAATACTGAAACTGGATTAAAAAACCAACCTCGGTTCACTTCCGCGATCGGCATGCTATGCGCAAAATAATTTTATCCATGTATATTATTACAAACAAGTGATTCAACCCTTAAAAGCCAATTTCACTCTTCGGTATTGAAACACAAAAATTGTGTAAAACTTACTTATAATTACGATACATTGTGACTACAAGTATAGTAGCAATTAATAAGAATTTTTCAATCGTATCGTAGCAGTAATTAATATGGTGTAAAGAAAAATTGGCTCAAGTTGAAAAATTTTTTTTTTTTTTTAAATAATTAAAAGATGACTTACAGGAGGTAAGTGTTCGGCTCCTGGGAACGTCTCCGGTATTTCTTCTCCTTCAGCCAAGTCCATCATAGAGTCTCCTGTTTTAGTCTCAGAATCTGTTTCCATGGGCTGTTTTTGAAACAAAAGCATTGCAATCGTATACGTAATTATTGATTGTGATTAATCATTGATGGTTAAAAAACTATCGAATAAAAATTTTTTTACAAAATCGAATGCGAAATGTTAACACCACATTATAATACAACATGTTTTATCATTGATGAAAAAAAGTACTCACTTCAGGCTTGATTTCTACTGTCTCTTTCTTCACTTCTTTCTTTTTTGGAGATGCCATCTGATCATTTTGTCGTGATAATGGCTGTGTTTTGATCTCGGGTTCTTCTTTAACTTGAGGCTGTGATTCATTCGATTCCTCCTCCACAACCTCTTCTGGCGGAGCTGATGGTTCATCCTTAAACACTAGCATAGACGCTATTTCCTCCTGAGACAACTGGCTCGTTCGAGTCACATAGGTATGTATTCTTCCACTGAGTACGCCTAACAGGGTTTGTTGGAACAACGGATGTAATCCCTCTGTAAGTTGATTCTGTAAACAATAATAAACTTGAATTTTTTATTCCTTCCGTTGATCGCATTCATAAATTTCTCAATTAACTACAACTAACAATAAAACGTGACGCAATAGTTTCAGGAGCTGTTTGGCCTCCACTGAGAGTATACTGCAGAACTGCGCTCGATTGATCCTCCAACTTCTTCACCAAGTTCACTACCTCTTGTGCAAAAGTTATGTTGTCGAAATCTGGATTAAAAGATTTTTTTTTTAAAGAAATTATAATCAGAAGTTTAACAGAGTCCATAATAAATGAAAGATCATAAGTTTTACCATTATTAAACAAAACTTTGAGGAATTCTGAGCAGAATTTTCGTAGCATAACTTCGATTGTACCAGGTATATCTACGCGTCTACCAGCTTGCTCTTGAGGTACATCTAGTACTTGAAGAAATAGCCTACTGAACGAGACTACCTGCTCAACAACTTGTTCTTGTAAGGAATCAACCGTTGTGTTAGGGAAGGAATGTTCCAAAAATTCTCGAAAAGGACGACGAAGTCTTACTAGGGGTTCTGTTTGGCCTGTGCTGATTTGCATGAGCCCATTGAAAGTGATATTTCTAAGCTAGAAGAATTAAAGGAGACATTAAATTTCATCAGTATACCAGCAATTTGCATGTAAAATATTTCACTTTAATTACCACAAATAACCAAAGATCGGTCATAAAGTCGCGTCCTGTAAATTCTTCATGTCGTATATTAAATGTTCTCAGCAAATCTGCCAGTGGTATATCATTAGTTGGTGTAAAGTGCATTTCTCCACCATTGGGACTGTTGAAGTATTATGTGATATTTAATGTCAATGGTTATACACCATTAAAAAAATTACAAACCAAGTATTGACTTACTCGCTTCCAATAACTGAGATGCGCACATCACTGGATGGAGACTGGAATAATTCACTCAGAGTCATGGCTAATCCCAGACCTGTTTATAATATTCATCAAGCTTAGAGAATTCATGAACATAAGTCCGAAAGTTCATTTTATAGAGTAATTGATTTTACCACTAGCAAAAGCCTCTCGACGGTTAGAATCTAGGAATGCACCAGCAGCATTTGCATCGCCGTCAATCGTGAAATTTATTTCTTGTGGTAGAGGTACAGTTCTTGAAGTGGATGACGATTGTGTTGCTAAAAATTATTATCAAAGGACATATTTATTCATCACCTGTCTTAAAAAATAATCAGATCTTAATAGAAAAAAAAAAAAAAACTTACAGGACTGTGATCTGTTTTCCGAGCTAGCCGCCTGCTGCCCAGTTGGGCTGGCTTGAGAAGTGGTCACATTGGTTTCTGCTTGTTGTTGTTGATTTTGCCTGCGTAAGTGATGCGAATTGCACGGAAGGAAAAGATCAAACTCGAGACTTTGACCCATTCCCATACCAACGTTGAGTGGATGTGTATGAGGGTGCAGAACGTGCGGCCGCGCCGTGCTACGTGTTTGCGTTGACGTGGTTGGATGAGTGCCAATGTTGCTTCTGCAACGCAATTTTAAGCTTGCATTTTCCCACAGTTTGTCACAAGAATGAATCAACGTAACGATGTCTACCTTGCTTGAGTGCTCTGTCCTGAATTCGCAGTGCCAATGTCCATTTGCTGGCCAACGAGCGCCATGAATGCCGGCATATTTGCCGTGGCATTGATCGTCGCACCACCGTTAGACGTCTCAACTTGCGCGTGTCTGCCACTTAATATACTCTGGAGCGCATCACGAATCAACGTCATTGGAGTAGCGTTGGCATTGGAAGCAGCTAAATAATCGAATAACAAGTTTTTAAGACATAAAAGTTTTTATAACAAATAACATAATACAATATTTACCATTTGCACCATTACTGTTGCTATTTTGGGCTTGATCATTTTCTGACCCATTAGTTGCACCAGAGGAACTAAATTCCATTGTGCTTTGAGGGCTGAGTTCCATTGACACTTCAACACTGCTTGGCAGATTCAAGTTGAGAAGAGTACCTTTAATAGTATTAATAATTGATAACTAAACAAAAAATAATAAAATCAAACGATGAAAATAGACAATAATTATGGTTGATTTTTCTAGTGAAACCAAAGTGCCTTATTTAATGTCTGTTTTCAATTTCAAATCTAATTGAACTGAGTATACCTAACACAGAAGCTTGATTGGGCCCACTAGTACTATGAGATGTTGATCTACTATTGGCACTATTTGGCGTACCTGTTTGATCTTGTGTACCTGAAGTTGGGGACGAAGGTCGAGTGGCTTCGTTCCCTTCATCATTGGTGGCATTGTTGTTATTGGATGAATTTCGAGCTGTTACATTGACGTGAGACTGCAATCGAACGGGAATAGTCTATGACCATTTTAATTAAAATGAAATTCAAATTAAAAGTCACATGTACAAGTCTAAGTAAAGATGTTACCTGTTATTTAAAAAGAAAAAAAAAATTCAATAATAAAATGTATGCTTTGAAAGATATACCTCAACTTGAATGGGAATTCCAGTTTGTAATATAGCAGAGTGTTGTATGACGATTGGCCGACAACGCAAGTTACGTGGAGGCTGCTGCCCCATATCTACAATTATATCACTTAATGCATGATTAGCATGGGACAAGTAGTGTAAACATTCGCTGACACCATCCACTATCCTCTGATTTTCCGTAACACCCTCAGGCCCATTTTGCTGTTAAGAACGATTTTCAGAAATTATTCCGCAATAAAGATGGTTTTATTAGTAAAGGAGTTTTCACTCACCCCTGAGGTAAGCGCAGGGTCCGCCGACATCAAAGCACGGTAGCGTTCAATGTATGGTCGTAGTCGGTCTTGGGTAGCAATCAATCTTTCCAACAGCTCAGCCATCAGTGGTGGACGAGGTACTCTATACAATCATCAATTTAACATAATCTCCTTTTTAGACGTAAAATTAAGTGTTGTGAAATGTAATTTTTTACTTACTGAGGAGACGCTCTTCTACTTGTGCCACTTGTGGAAGCACTCGGTTCTGCCCTACCATTTTCTGATCTTTGAGGTTCTGATCTCTCGGGTTCTTGTTCCTCTGATTCTGAAGTTTCCAACGGTGGTGCACTTGGTTCTGAAAAAGCTCTGGCTACTGTTTCAGCATTGACTGTAGGGCCATCTTCATTTTCTAGTTTTGTGATGAACAATACGATTAATACGGTACCAAATTTATTTATAAACGATGAACACATATGATATTAAAATAACGTAAAAATTTACCTTGTGATAATCTAATATTAATAAGAGCAGAACCTGAAGAAAAAGCAGCAGCTACTGCTGATGCAGCTTGTTCCATTGCTATCCTGGCATTCTCATTTCTATTTATACTACTGAAAATAAATTATTTATATTCATGTAAAAAGAACAAATTAAAAGACAATTTGTATTTATCCTATTTTCCTTTTTCGCTAATCATACCTATCTTGTTCTGCTTCATCTTCAGGTGCTGTGGCTTGAGGTTCTGCTTCTGAAGCACTATTTTCAGTTGGACTTGGATGCAGAGGGATTGATGGATCATCTAAACGATCCATCAGCTGCATTGCCTTATTTAACATACGCCTTGCACATACCAATCTACTGTTAGATAAAGTGTTGCTCAACTGCGGAGTTGGTAAGCCTATACAAAAAATTTAAAGCCGTCTTAATAGATAACAGAATATAATATGTAAAGCTTATAATTAGTAGGTTATACGTAAATAATTATCATTATGCATAGAGAAAAGTTGAAATAAATATTTTAAATGATTTAGGGGCTTGACATTATGAAAAACTAACAACCATTCTAATGAACTAACCGTGGCCTTCAACAACCTCTGCAGGCATAGACATTGCACCCAAGTACATTGCATTCCTATGAAGTCCCCTGTATTGAACTCTTGATCCACCTTGAGTCCACTGGCCATTGCTCTGTCTTGAGTTCTCATTGCTGCTGTTGCGTGGTGTATCAGGCTGTGGTGGAGGACGTTGCACCAAGTGTACAACTTTTCCATCCACATCTGTATACAGTAATTTTGAGAAATTGTTACGAAATTTCCAACTTAGTTAATTATTTCAAGGCTTCGAAGCAACCATTTTCTTGAAATAACAGTAAACAGGAAAAACTTTGGTAACTCTGTTTTGGGCAAGTCGGCATATAAATAGCAACGGCCTCTATATCAGAAATAATCAATATGCAAGGTTTCATCATGCAGCAAAGCAAATCCAACCTAATTTTCGCTTGAACTTGGAACTCCAAACAAATCAAATCAACACGAACCAAGTCCAAGTGCAGAGGAAAAAAAAAAAAAAAAAAAAACAATGCTCAAGAAGGGAACAACAAAACATCTACCTCCATAGTCACTGAGCTTCTTGTCATCCTGCAAAACTCTGCCACAGAAAATCAGTCTCTGGGAATCAGCCGGGACGGAGACTATATCCGCAATGTGTTCCTTGAAACCACGTACTGTGATCTACAAGTCAAGATAAAACCACACATTAGTTAAGAACGCCCGCTAACATGTCTTAACCAAAAAATCTACGAGAGCGCACACTTTAGCAGAGCGTGTGCAACATTGTGCTATTAACAAAATAATTTTCGTATACTCACATTCTCGTCGCAGTTAACGGAGTGATTCTGCGAATCCAACGTCTTGACTGTTACGAGCATTTTTGCGTCGCACGTTAGTATCAATACTCTCGACGACGACGTTGATAAGAAAAAGGGTGCACACAAAACACAACCGTTTCACTGCTCAAGGCGCACAATCGCTCCAGGTGTGCTCTAACCGCTCGCCTCTTTGTTGCCTTCTCACTCGCACCTCTTGCGTTTTTGATCACGGGCTATTTAATTTGAAGAAAAGAAAATGCTTTTGTTCTGCTTTACGATTTTCCAGCTGGGAAACAACAACTTCTCCTCGGCGTACTTCCTCTTCTATCGTGTCGTAGCGCGATAAACCATCGACAATTTATTTGCGAGAGATATATGTATATGTACTTTGTGTTTTATTTTCCGAGCTGTTAGAAGAGAATTAAAATGACTATTTGAGGTTAGGTGTGTACGCGAAAGAGCAATTCGTCTGCTTGGGGGAAGATGGCGATCATTAGGAGGCAAATTTGAATTAACCATTTGTAATGGAAAATCTGTCCTTCACATAAAAACATGAAAAAATACGTTTATGTTTTGAAAAAAAAAAATGTTTTTTCAAATGAAGTATAGGGAAAGAGAAATTTCGAGATTTTTTCAGTGGTTGATGATACAATCGAGTAATTGTTTACACGAGTATGAATAAATAAATTATCATGTATACTAGTCGCGTTTTTTTCTGCACTAGCAAGAAAAATTCTGTTTTAATTTGAAATTTTTTTTTTTTTTTTTTTAACTTTATACCTCTGTTAGATACATCACAGATACGTTATACTCGTATGAACAAAATAAAAACGTTTAAATATGCGTAGAACACATTATAGTTTTCGATTATTCGAAGCCGTTGCTTCTAAAATTAAGGGTAAAAACTGATTAAGGGTGAGAAAGGATAATACCCTTTAATAGTGACAGCCCCTAGTTACCTAGTTAGGATGCAAAGGCAGAATCTCCCTCCAGTGGGTACAAAAGTAGGTGGATCTACATCCCCTGATGAACATGAACTTTATCAGAAAAAAAACCTTTCGAATACAGGAAATATGTAACCCTTTGTAGTGAAACTCTCCCACGTCGTTGCGAGTGAATACAATTATTTTTTTATCTGTTTCTTACGCCTCTTGACCTAATTAAAAAAAAAAAAAAAAATGGTAATAATAACAGTTTAAAAAAAATACTTAACCATTTGTATGAAGCATTCGATCAAAAAGCCTCTTAAAACATTTCTTTCTTGTCACACGAAATTTTATAATCATATAATATTTGATAAGTGGAAAATAATTTTTTAGCGTACGAAGGAAGCTTAAAAACTGTTTTCTCACACAATTTTCTTATAAACATTCCGATAACTTACATATTTCACTTGGTGCACGGTAACAGCGTTTGGCAAAGAAAATACATTTTTTTTGCTGCAGATCGGTACAACGACATCTGAGTACAAATATATATCGGTTGAAGTAAATATTTTAAAATTAACTCGGAAAAGAAGTGCAACACTGTGAGGTATATACACATACAAGAACGAGATGCTCGAGTTATGCGTCATGGAGAAGAAGAAATAAATAAATGGTCTCGAGTATTCCATAGAGTAACTATATAGTTTTTCGTATTAAATTTACAGTATTCACAGTGTAAGAAGTAGGTATCAGACTTGTAGGTATATTATTGCTCCATTCTACATGCGACGAGCAATGCGATCCCTTGCCTCGTTAAGAATCGACGATCGGCCTCTGGCGCCACGCGTAACATGTATATGAAAAAAAAAAAAAAAAAAAAAAAAAAAAAAAAAAAAAAAAAAAAGAGATCGACAAGTAGCAGAAGTATAGATGCACACTTGGAGTTGCAATATATATATTGACGAACGCATTATAAACGCCCGAGCTTTTTTTTGAGGGTTCACGGAATGCGTGGAAAATTAATGATCCGCGTGCTCTAATGCCGTCAATTAAATTTTAGCCAGAGCCGTCTTTGTGTGTTGGTCGTCGACTATAATTAGACGGGGTTTTATTTTTATCGCACGCTTCCTGAAGTGCGATGACATCTATAGAGTCCAAAA